GTAATCTAAGAGCTGTATGCAATGCAGTGGGCGCAAGGTATGAAGGCAAAGGACGCACCCCCAACTGCACAAATAATGAATAAGTACACAGAAAATGATTGAGAAAACCAGGGGTGGGCAACTCCGGCCCTCCAGCTGTGCTTAAACTACAAATGTCAACATACCGTATATACTCGAGTATAAGCCGTCCCGAATATAAGCCGAGGTACCTAATTTTAGCCCAAAAAACTGGGAAAAAGTATTGACCCGAATATAAGCCGAGGGTGGGAAATGAGGCAGCTACTGGTAGATAGATACCATTAAAATACATTAATATTTATTTAAAAGAAAAATAACCTAGCTCTGTAAGTGGAAAAGGGGGTACAGGGCTACATATCATACTTTTCACCCAAAAAAATGGGCTGAAAATCTCGGCTTATACTCGAGTATATACGGTACCCCTTGGAGTCATGTCTGTAATTGTTAGTCTTGCAATGCCTGATGGGACTTGTATTTTCACAACAGCTGGAGGGCCAGAGTTGCCCACCCCTGGGGTAAATCTCCAAGTTCTTATTTTTACCACTAGTTACCCTTTATACTGGCTGTTCCAAACAACAAATGTGAGAATTCAGAGGATAGATAAAAGATTTAGCACAGTAGATAGTTAAAAGGGGGACAGAGGGATTGAGTTTGATAAGAGGCACAGTCCCTCCAAATGAGGGGCAGCTGGGAGCTGTGCTTTCTAGTTTAGAGGTCCAAGGTAACTGAAAAGAGAAGGCTAGTAAAGCAATGGCCATGTTTCAGTATAGCCACAAGAGCCAACCATGGAGGTTGGGGTTACCCTGGTTCTTTCAGATGACTGTACAACAATTGTGCTTTCACTCAGCCCTACTGACACCATATGCATGCATAATGTAAAGAGAGTTCAAACAAATAAGTCATATGCACTCATTGACCACGGTGGCTTGGATCATAAGGCATAAGAACTGGTTTTAATGCTGGTCATACATGGATTGAGCAAACAAGAGGAACAGAAGGACAGGACAACCCCTCTAAATGATTACTGACCACTTGCCGTCTCCTTCTGAATAAAATAATGATTCTTAGCAGACAGCACTTCCACAGTTAAAGAGTTGTTCCCTTTTCAAACTGATATTCATCAGTACAATTTTACACTTGAATGGCTGTAACATTTCCGTGACTCATGCTAGATTGTTCTTGCTTAGAAATGCTCATTTCCCATGCATTGCTGCAGATGAGCAGGTATTTCCCCACTTGGATCTTTCTACCTGCTCCTGGGGAGAAAGGGGAACCATTAAGGTTATGGTGAGAAGGCACTAAACAAATCATAAAGTCCTCCAACTGAATGTGGAGAGTACTGTATAGCATGCTTAGAATAAAAGGTATTGACGTGTCTCATTTCATCACATATGTCCAAAATCGGGGGATTATTCTTCATTTTTTAGGAAGTGGGCAGAGCTGTACAAATAATTTCTTTATGCCCCAATGGCCAAATACTGTACACACTCAGAACCGCTGGTGTACAGTGGAATGTAGCCTATTATTATGGAGAAATGTATTCCAAACTGCATACCGCGGTTTCAGGCTTTATTGATTATCATCAGTGCAGTGTATGAAAACCATGACCTATAAAAGTAGGCTTGGGGCCCAACGAGCAAGTATACCCATTTAGGGTATGCTGAGAAAGGACTAAAGGAATCAAAATGCCCTTCAACTGAATCAGTGCCTAGTACAGAGTAGTAAATGAGGAATAATCAAATAAAATGATTATTCCTCATTTAAGTACAGTGAGTGGAGCCATAAAAATCATTCCTTTACACCCCAGATGGCCAGATGCATGACACAGCAGCACAGTGGCGTGGTGGCTTGTGTTTCTGCCTTGCAGCACTGGGGGTCCCTGGTTTGAATCCTGGACAGGATGCTATGTACAAGGAGTTTGCATGTTCTCCCTGTGCTTGCGTGCATTTCCTCTATGTAAACAGGTTTCCTCCCACACTCCAAAGACATGCTGGTAGGTTACTTGGCTCCTGTCTAAATTGGCCCTGTGTTTATGCATGTGAAATAGGGACCTTACATTGTAAGGGACTGATGTGAATGTACACCTAATGGTTAAGGTTTGTATGCATCAGCCTCCTATGACCATCCCTATGCTGGATATAAACACGTAAAAAAAAAAAATTGGGGGGGG